GTTGCAGCCTTGGGCTCAGACAGGGCTGAGATCAGAGCCCAAGGGCTCCGGGTCTGCCCCAGCAACCTCGGGGCTCAGCGCACTCTTGCAGGGCTGCCAGAAGCTGCTGGGATGCCGGCACGAAGCTTGAGAACTCCCGGGCTGAGGGCAGACCTGTCACACGTGACACCCAGAGCAGATCACATTTTTGAACGCTCCATCCTCCATAAACAAAGTTATTTTCAATATGATCATGTCATCATCACGGACAGTCATGGTTTTCCTGATTGTTCTTTAAAGCAATGAACAGAAAGAAGGATACGTTTCAATTATAAAGTCGTTATTCTAATTCAGTGACTGACTTCATGCCTGAGCGCACCTGTGCACTCAAATGCTACTCCTCCGCTTGCACTCGGTTTCACAGTTTTAAATTTTAAACAAGAAATTAAAGCACCAAGAGGTCACATAGGATGACAGAATCGAAATAACTGCAGTTTGTTTCTCCGTGAGGTTTATGTGAACTGTCCTGTTTAGGCACAGAAATCCATCAGGCCCTGGAACCCCCCAGCCCCGGGGCTGCAGATGAGAACCTCACCTCCCCGCTCCCATGAGCCTGCCCGTCCCCGACCTCCAAAGCCTGCTCCGCACAAATGCACGCAGTCCCGCCACGCTGTCGGGAGCAACTGCCTACGTGGGAGTTCTGCACGATTTCCGCGTGGTGAGTGGAAGGATGAGAAATGAAATTGCGCTTGTTTGAAGGTTACGTAAATACAGTCACTGCTCATTACTTGAGTGCCCCAGATGTGTGAATTCACCTGCTGCGCTAGTCCGCTCGGCCCCCGCGACAACTCACCGCAGGTGCGGCGGCCCCAACAACAGGCGTTCATTGCCTCACAGTCCCGGAGGCTGGATGTCTAGGATCAGTCCGGGCTGGTTCCTCTGACCCTGCCTCCCCGGCGTGTGGACGGGTCTCCTCACTCCCTCTGCGCGCCCTTCCCTGCTGTCCTCGGTGCGCCCAAATCTCCTCTTCTTGTAAGGGCACCAATCACATTGGATCGGGGCCCACCCCTGTGACCTCAATTCACCTTAATTGTCTCTTTAGAGGCCTTATCTTCAAATAGTCGCATTCTAAGGCACTGGGGGTTAGGGCTTCATCATATGAATTTTGGGAGACACAGCTAGCACGCAGCCCCAACCCGGTCAAATTTATTTGTAACCCCGACGTCAACATTTGCGGAGCTGGCACAGCCATTCACAGACACGTGCAGAGTGCCGAAAAATTTGTCTCGTGACACACATGATCCCGGCGCAGGGCACAAGGCAGCACTCTGCCTTCTCGTTTCAGCTCTCGTGCTGCAAACAAGTGTCCTTTTCGAGGTTTATGTAGCATCATTTTCTGGGTATTTTTTGTGTGTTTGGTTGGTAATTTTGGCATTTCAGATGCCGCCAGGCACAGTGTGGAGGTGCCGTGGGGTGTCCAGAGCACGAGAGGCCGCGAAGGGTCTCCCGGAGAAAGCGCGAGCGCTGGGAGAGCTCCGTTCAGGCCGGGTACGGCGCTGGCGCTGGGGGCTCAGTGTCGGCAAACCAGCAACACATTAAACAGGCATCTCTAGGCGAAACACAGAGCACAAGGTTCCATGTTGATCGTTGGTGACAATGGTGTGATCAGAGGCTCGCGGGGAGAGCGCAACCCTGTAACCCCCAGGAACACAGTTCTGTGTTCACAGGAGTCAGTCGGTGCCCGCAGCAGCTTTCTAGAACACCACTCCCTCGAGCATCAGCCGTGTTTTTATTAATGCAGCAATTGCTAGAACGCGGCCCACAAAAGGGGAGCCTGTTTGTGCTGACGGGGCCTGGGAGTTGCAACGGGGACGCTGGCTCCCGTTGGCTGTGTTTGTTCCTGCACAGATGCCACCGTCCTCAGCACAGCGGCCGACACCCCTCACCCATGGCCCCGCACTGTGGCTTTGAAGCGGCCTCTGCAGCATGAATTCTAGTGGGAACCCAGCCCGAGCAAGAGGGGCTTGTTTCCCCAGAGCCCAGGTGGGTGGGGCGGGCTCTGCGGAGGCGGGACGCGCACGTGCTGGGGAGAGACCCCGTCGCTTCCCACCCTGCTCCTGCCTTGCCCTCTGCGAGGGTCTCGCTGCGCCTCCTTGAGCACACATGTACCCTTTGCTGCTGCCTCTACCCGCTAGAACGTCAGCCCCACAAAGGCAGGGACTTTGCTTACAACCGTGTGTCGTGTACGCAGGACTCGGCCAGCGCCGGCCAGTGTTGCTTGTGTCACCTTGGCGGTGGGAGAGGTGGGCGCACGGGAGGTAGGACAGGAAGGGCTCAGGCGACGGACCTGCTTCAGGTTGAATTAGGTCGCACAGTGGAGTGGCGTGAGCTGGGTTGACCGTTACCGCTGGCCCTTCTGTGAGCTGCGGGGCCACGGCCGGGAAGCGTCCTGGACAGCCTTTCCTCACACGTAACCTGGGAATGTGTCACCTACAGAACATGGGAGTTAAGGTTCCTGAATGAAGACAGCCAGCCCGGCTCATCCAGGCGGGCCCGTGTGCGCTCAGGGGTCCTCGTAAGAGGGGCAGGAGAGTGACCACGGAGGGACGCGATGGGGCAAAGACGCCACCACTACTGCCCAAGGGGAGGAGTCGGACTCTCTCCTGGGCCTCCAGGAGGAACCAGCCCGGCCAGCACCTGATTTTCATTTAGTGAGACGCGGTTCAGACTTCTGGCCTCCAGAACTCTGAGACGATACATTTGTGTTTTAAGCCATCACATTTGTGACTTGCACAGCAGCAGCCAGACACTAATGCAGCACCCGAAACCCAGGAAGGACGTGGCCCCTGAGCTGCCCGCGTCCGGGCCTTCAGGGCTCCGGGTAGCTCTGCGGGCCACCCTGGCCCCGGGCAGCCCTGCGGCAGGTGCCTCAGTGTCCCACAGCCCACGGGGCTCCATCCTCCTGGGGGCAGGGACACGGGTGTGAGCGCCGTGTCTGAAGGATCCCCTCCCCCCAGCAACCTCCCCAGGCTGCAGCGCCACCCTGCCCCGGCCTGTCCGACCAATCCTGGGCAGGGCCCAGGACAGTGAGGCTGTCCCCTCCGTGCCAAACGTCAGGGGGTGCCAAAAACCACAGCCATTGAGAGAAATAATATTTTAACACAATGTTTAAAAAAGTAAAAATGAATGCAAAAAATCTGTAGTGAACAAAATATCAAAATTTTAAATAAAGAGAGGATGAACACAACTGAAGTTCCAGCATGACTCTGCCCGGTACAGACCATGCCTGGCCTGGCTGGACCTCCCCACGGGGGACACGGCTTCCATCCAAACGGCCCCTTCCTCCTTCCCCGTGGCCCAGGAGTGGGTGGCCGGCACTGCTCTGCCAGCCCCTGCCACAGCCCGGATGTCGACCCCGCCTGGACAGACGGCCTGGAGTCCCCTCCCCGTCTTCCAGGCCGAGTGACCTGGGCGCCCGGCTGCACCTTCCTCAGCCCACTTTGCTGGCCTACAAAGCGGGGGTGCCGCGGGGAGCTGCCCGGAGGGCGACTCCGGGGAACCACAGGGTGGTGGGCCTGGGGCCACTCCCCAGTGCTTGCTGTCTGCGCCCTGGTCTGGCACGCGTCGCCGACACCTGGGCGTCGCTTCTCGGTATGGCAGGTTTGCAGGGCGAAGGTTGTCATTTCAAGTTCTTTCGGGCCCTTCCCACCTGGGAAGTGCCGTGTGCACAGCTGACCTTCCGATGCGGGAAGTGTCCGGCCAGAGAGCGGGGAGTGCTCCGAAACCCCCACTGCGCAGCACGTGCACCTGGGACGGCTCAGGGTCAGCCCTCCTCGTGCTCGGGGGAGTCTGTCCCCGCGGCACCGCAGGTCCACTTGCAGGGATCCCGGATGCTCCGGGGCGTGTGTTCTGCACAGACGTGAACTGGACAGAGCTAGGAGCCGAAGCAGGATGGGGGGAGGCAGGACAAGGGGAGGCAGGATGGGGGAGGCAGGAGGGGGGAGGCAGGAGGGAGGAGGCAGGACGGGAGGGAGGAGGGGGGAGGCAGGGGAGAGGCAGGAGTGGGGAGGCAGGAAGAGGGGAGGCAGGACCGGGGGAGGCAGGACGGGGGAGGCAGAGGAGGAGTGGGAGCTTCTCACAGTGTGGACTGTGCGCCCTGCTTGTGCTGCGGTGGGAGGCGTAATGCTCCCCAAAGATCAATTTCCCGAAAAATATCAAAAGCCTTTACACTGGGGGTACCCCGACACTTGGCAGTACTGGACGAGGGCCGCAGATCGGGGGCAAGGTCACCGCCAGGCCTGCCTTCGACAGGACCGCACGGACGAGGTGGACACGTCGCCGCCGGCTGAGCACCCAGGGGGGTCACCCCGGGGAGGCATCAGGGGAGCCGCGCAGAGGAAAGCCCACGCCTGGGGGTCCCGTTTGCGCAGAGGAAGCCAGTCTCCCACCCTGTCGGGGGCACACAGACCCCGGAGGACGAGCACCTTTCCGTGTCTTCTCTGTCTTTCCGTCTTCCCCGGGAACTCAGCGAGTGCGCACGATTGCCACCAACAGTGAGCAGGGGCCGGGCGCCCTGTTCTGGAGAAACAGTGCACTCTCACCTAGGAGCTGTGAGATTTGGGGACTACTTGTCTGACCCCTGTGCCTCAGTTTCTTCATATGTGAAACGGGTATGAGCCCCCTCCCAGGGTGGCCGTGAGGACCACACAGGACAGGCTGCGCAAGGAACTGGCGCCGTCTGCGGCAGGTCGTGCCCCTGCCCAGCACGTGGGAGACGAGAAGCTCCGAGAAGCTCCGCCGTCCACCAGGCCAGTGTGGGGCACAGAACTCCTCCTTGGGGACGTCTGCCCTCCTGGTGGCCCTGAGCCGAGCCCAGGCCCTGTGGCCGTCAGCACAGCGCCTCCCGGGGCTGGGGGCAGCGCCCGGCCCAGCACGTTTCTGCTGACGGGGCAGCCTCCCCCGTGAGCTCATGCCTTTCCAGAGAAATCCCTTAATGCCTCCATTCTGCCGGCGGCGTATATAGGCAGGGCTCGGGCCCCGCTCTCCACTGCGCTGCCCAGAGGCCCCTGCCTGACTCCCCTGCAGCCTCCAGGTCCCCGCGGTGCCGAAGCTGAACATGGACGTCACCATCCAGCACCCCTGGTTCAAGCGCCCGCTGGGCCCCTTCTACCCCAGCCGGCTGTTCGACCAGTTCTTCGGCGAGGGCCTCTTTGAGTACGACCTGCTGCCCTTCCTGTCGTCCACCATCAGCCCCTACTACCGCCAGTCCCTCTTCCGCACCGTGCTGGACTCCGGCGTCTCCGAGGTAAGGCGCGGCCGGCGCCGGCCTCTCCTTGCTGGGCAGAGGGAGGAGAGTTAGGGACAGCTGAGGGGGGCACCTGGCTGCCCTGGCTCTTGCCTCGCTCCGTGGAGCAGGTGGCCACGGCCACAGAGCCACTTTCCTGCCTGCCTTCCCCCGCCCCCGCCACCACCGTGCAGTGGCTGGTGGGAGCCCGCGCACCGCCTGTGCGGCCACACGGCCACGAGGCACAGCCTCCCACATGCCGGGGGGGTTGGCAGGAGTCAGCCCGAGCCCACCCTTGTCTTTTCCTCCGTCAGCTCATGACCCGTATGTGGTTTGTAATGCACCAGCCACATGCTGGAAACCCCAAGAGCAACCCCGGCAAGGCAAGTGTGACGGCCACCTGGAGCTCTCTGGGTCCGGCTGTTCTCTGCACTTTCCCTCCCGAGTCCAGGAAGCCCGGGTGCGGGTGGGGACCGCTGCCCTGAGATCCAGAGCGGACAGCTGTCCCAGCACGGCCGCAGACATGGTGGCTCTTACCAAGTTCCCCCAGGTGGCCCCGCCAAGGCCAAAGGAGAGGCAGCAACATCCCTGCCTCCCCTCCTGAGGCTCGGGGGGGTCAGTGCAGGGGCCACAGTTTTGGAGGTGCAAGTCCCACCCACCACCTGAAAAGCAGGAGACCCCCAGAGCTGGTGCAGGGACATCCAGCGGGGAGCAAGCTGAGCCAGTGCCGTGAGGCAGGGGCGGGAGGGCTCTGTGGGCAGCGGCTGCTCAGCGCCCTGCAGGCTGCAGGACGGAAAAGACGAAAGACTGGCTCCTGGGCCGCTGTGGGCGTGGTGATGCCAAGGGCAGTGACTCTATCCAAGGTTGAGTCCACCCAGCCAGCCCACAACCAGCCCCCAACCGTAACCAGCCGGCCAGCCCATAACCATCCGCCATCTGCAGCCAGCCGCCTGGTCATACTCAAACCAGCTGCCCCATCACCAGCTGGCGGGCAGCTGCGCCTGGGCTGGGCCCCGAGAGCGTGGGGATGGGTCAGGCCCCTACCCGGGTGAGAGGCCCCAGGACTTGCCCACGCAGCAGGGGAAGGGAGAGGCTGGCGGGTGACTGCTCCCTCCCCGGGCCGCAGCCTTGTGGGTGGCTCCACACCAAGCGTTTGGGTTTCAGGTCCGATCCGACCGGGACAAGTTCGTCATCTTCCTCGACGTGAAGCACTTCTCCCCGGAGGACCTGACCGTGAAGGTGCAGGAGGACTTCGTGGAGATCCACGGCAAACACAACGAGCGGCAGGTGAGCTGAGACCGGGCTGGAGGGAAACGGGGGCAGAACACGCGTGTGGCTCACTGTCGTCCCGCAGGGCCGGGCAGCTCTGGACGCGGCTCAGGGACCCGGGTTGGGGTCCCGACTGGGCCACTGTGTCCAGCTGTTACCACGTCCCTCTGGGTCAACTGGGTGACAGGGTGGGCTTAGACAGGACCCCAGGAAATGGGAGCGCTCAGGTGGAGGCCTCCGAGCCAACATGTTTTCACATAAAACCTTGGAAGGCCGGCCCCTGGCAACCACATAGCCACGTTTACTGGCATCTAGGCGCTTTTCATGCATTGACACAGTCACTTCTCAGCAGCCCTTTGGGACCAGTGCCCTCGTCATCCCAAGGGGCAGAGCTGAGGCAAGAGAAGGGCCAGGGGCTGCCCGGGTCCCGCAGAGAGCACAGGGCGGTGGGGCAGGGGCTCCTCCCTGGCAGTCACGCCCGCCGCAGGCTCTTGCTCGGGTCTCCGCGGTGTCGAGGGAGCCCCGGGCACAGCCAGGAAGGGCCAGCAGAGGCGGAGAGGGGCTGGGGCCTGGAGCGCTAGTCCAGGTCGTGGTTTCTCCTGGCCGAGGTCTTCTCTGAATGGCTGAAGGAGGGGGTGAAACCACATCCTGTCTGCCGTCTGCTCTCAGGTGGGCTGAGTAAAGCTCCCCCAGCAGTTGTAGCCGGCACAGCCCAGGAGGTCCTCCCTGGAGCGCTCAGCTCTCGGTCCACACCGAGGGAGGAGGAGGTTGGACCAGGGAGCTGAGTGTGGCTTAGGGCGACCACAGGTGGCAGCGTTCTGCCCGCGTGGCTTGCTGCCCGCAGGTTGGACAGCAGAGACCCTGGGCTTGAGCGGCCCGTGCAGGTCCCAGGAAGGGAAAACCCGACAGGCACAGGCAGGGCCGGAACGACGCCCCCGGTTTTGGAGTGGGACCTGGGAGGGTGAAGAGCCAGCTCTGCGGCCATAGTCGCCCCCGGGGAAGGTCCTCGCTCCCGGACAGCCCGGACCAGGCTGAGACCAGGGCTCGGGAGAGCACGCGCAACCCGTGAATCCCAGGGGGTCGCACCCTGCCCCCTCTGACCGTGTGCCCCTCCCCAGGACGACCACGGCTACATTTCCCGCGAGTTCCACCGCCGCTACCGCCTGCCCTCCAACGTGGACCAGTCGGCGTTGTCCTGCTCCCTGTCCGCGGACGGCATGCTGACGTTCTCCGGCCCCAAGATCCCGTCTGGCCTGGACGCCGGCCACAGCGAGCGAGCCATCCCCGTGTCGCGGGAGGAGAAGCCCAGCTCCGCGCCCTCGTCCTAAGCAGGCCCCGGCCCGGCCGCCCCCCGCAGCCCCAGCTCACCCCCGGGGGCGCAGCGCGGCGCGGCGTTTGTCTCCCTCCGCTTCCCTTCGCGTTTCCTTCCCGCCTCCTCCGTTGGACGAGGGTTTGAGAGAGTGGCCGGGAGAGCTCAGGTCCTCGGGGTGTCCCGACCCCAACACCGGCCAGGGAGTGGCCGCCTCACACTTCCTCAGCGAGCAGCCTGGGCCTCCCGGGGTGCAGCAGCCTCGGCTTTGCTGAGAGGCCTGGTGGGGCGGTGCCCACGCCCGAGAGGACCCCCTGCCGAGCACCCTGGAGGACTCCGGGTTCCAGATCTGCCGGGCGCGTCTTGACGCCCAGGGCGGCCTCTGCTCGCGGCGGGCCCTGCCCACGCTGCCCGGGGGGCCGTGCCGAGGCCCCTGTGTGCCTGGGCTCTCGGCTGCCCACTTCTCTCAGACCGTCTTCCTCCACTCTCCTCTGTGTAGTGCCACTCTCGGGGACGCCGGTCACCCATGAGAGTGCAGCCCGTGGCAGTCAATAAAGAGCAGGTGACACAAGCAACTTGCTGTCTGGTCGTGCATTTCCACCAGGGAGGTCTAGAGGGTGGGGGACGCAGGGGCGGCCCGGGGAGGAGGGGGAAGGGGCGGCCTCTCCCCAGCTGACGTGCGCCCTCCACCCTGGCTTTGCAGGAAGGAGGGGGTTTTCGGGGTGAAGCGTCTGAGGGAAAGAGAGAGGCGAGGACATCTGAGGGCTTGGGGGGAAGGAGGCAGGAGCACAGGAGGGAGAGGGCAGCAGGGCCTGGCCTCTCTCGGGCCCCCCTGGGCTGGTGCTTCAAGGACGCTCTTGTTCTGGTGGGCCCCGAACTCGGCCACTCCCACTGGGCGGTGCCTCCTGGGCCCAGCCCACCCTGCCCCTCCAGACTCTGGGCCCTGGGGCTCCTCTCAGGCTGTCTCCCTCCGGCCCTGACCGAGCCGGGCACCCCAGCTGCACCTCCAGCAGAGCCAGGCCGTCCTCGGGCTCTGCCCAGACCCTGCTCTGCAGGGGGAGACGTGGCTTGGAGCACCTGCGGCCTCTATCCACGGGGCAGGCAGGTGGCTTCCTGATGCCCCCTCCAAGGGAGTGGTGTGGGCAGCCAGAGGGGTCCTTGGCGAGTGGAGAGTGAGAGACGCCACGCCAGGGGGCCCTGTCATTGCTGGCAGACCCTGTCAGGGGCCCTACCCCAGGAGACAAAGGCCATGGGGCCCGGCAGAACAGCCCAGGGGGTGGAGCCAGCATCCTCCCCTCAGGGACATGGACACCTGGGGACTTTCAGAGTTCAACAGGCAGTGAGAGAGGGCCTTCACCTGCAGTGACAAACAGCACGCGCCACACACAGCCACACCATGCACACGCTGCAGACGCATGCACACACACACACCACACTCCACACACCGTGCACACGCTGCAGACGCACGCACGCACACACACCTCACTCCACACACCGTGCACACGCTGCAGACGCACGCACGCACACACACCACACCCACACACCGTGCACACGCTGCAGACGCACGCACGCACACACGCACACACACCACACTCCATACACCGTGCACACGCTGCAGACGCACGCATACACACACACCACACACCACACACCGTGCACACACTGCAGACGCACGCATACACACACACCACACACCATGCACACGCTGCAGACGCACATACACATACACCACACACCACACACCACGCACACATTGCAGATTCACACATACACACATCACACACCACACACACCACACACCATGCACACTGCAGATGCATGCATACACACACATCACACACCATACACCACACACCACACACACATTGCAGATTCACACATACACATATCACACACCACACACACCACACACCATGCACACTGCAGATGCATGCATACACACACATCACACACCATACACCACACAGCATGCATACACTGCAGATGCACGCATACACACACACCACACTCTACACACCATGCACATGCTGCAGACACACATACACACACCACACACCATGCACATGTACACACACATCACACGCCACACACCACACACCATGCACACACTGCAGACGCACACATACACATCACACACCATACACCACACACCATGCACACACTACAAATACACTACAAATATACCACACATCACACACACATATGCATACACACACATCACAAACACATGCACACACCACACAGACACACCGCACTCACGCACTATACCCCTCATGTCTCCCACACGTACCATGCACACCACACATACGTGTACCCCACAACACTCACATCACGCACCCCCCCAACTTGTGTCTCTTTGCTGCTCTGAGTGGCCCATGCAAAGAATTGCTCTGGCCCCTGGAGGGATTCCCTAGACCCCTGCTCACGCCCCCTTCCCACAGGACCCGCCTGCTGCTCTGCCGTTTAACCCACCTCTGCAGAAGGGGGAGTGCGCTGTGGCAGGTGACGAAAACCGGCTACTACACTTCGGGCTGGCGCTGGATATCTGGAAACTCAGTCTCACGGTCCAGGGCCCCCCCAGAGGGGCCCCGGGCCAGCCTGGCAGGCGCTTCGCTCGGCGCAGCCTGGAGCCACGGCAGGGCGGCTGGGGCCTGCGGGTCCGCTGCGCACAGGGTGGGCGACGCTCACAGCCCGGCCTGCCACCCGCCATGGCTCCCTAAGGCAGCCTCCGCGTCTCACCACCGTGTCCCGGCCAGATGGGCTCAGCCGGGGGCGCCTTCAAGGCCCCCGGCACGCAAACACCGAGGCCCGTGATGAACGCACCCCAGTGAGCCCAGGCTCAGGGGTCCGCGCCAGGTCGAGGTGCCCACGACCCCCTTGGAGCTGTGGGCGAGCATGCTGGATGCTGCCCCGGCGGGGGGCTGAGGACACAAGCTCTGATGCCCAGCCACCTGGCTGCCCTGCTGGGGCAGACCCAGAGTCTCCCTGGCAGACGCTCCTGCCCCACGCCGGCTGCTATCAGGAGATCTTCTGAGACACGAGGCTGTCTGCCCCCCTTGCCTCCTTTCCAAGCTCCCCTCCGCCTGCCGGGGCCAGGCCTGCAACTCCTCACCCAGACGACGACGCACAGCCTCCTCCGTGGGCCAGACGACGACATCATCGTCGCCGCGGGCTGGCCCTCCCTCCCCCTCACCTCGCCTCTGATGTAGGAGGCGCAAAGCTCCGATCGCGTCTCCCCTCTGCTCCCCATTGCTCAGCCGGGCTCCCAAGCCTCCTGTGTCTGCCCCTCATGTATGCAGGTCAGAGGGTGCTCCCCAGCCCAGCCCTGTCCACGTAAGTCACGTGGCCTTCGCGTAAAGGGGGGATTGCTGGCACCCCCCAAACTGCCTGCCCATGAGAACCACCTGCAAATACAGATTCCCGGGCCCTGCCCCAAACCTCCGAATCAGAGTCTGGAGGAATGGTGTCCAGGGGTCTGTGCTTTCCGTCATCTCCAGGTGACTGCTAGGACCAAGCAAGTGTGAGTGACACTGGCATAACAGCGATGGCCTCCCGGGGGGACAGCCAAGGGGCGAGGAGTGTCGCGGGAAGCTGCCTGGCCAGTCTCGGGGGCTGGGCCTGTGGATCCTCAGGTGGGCACACTCTCGTCCCACCACACGTGACACGCGAGCAAGAATTATCGACACCCCTCCAGAACCTCGCTTTCACCTCCAGCAGCAGTATTGTCATCGTCATCGTCATTGTCATCGCCATCATCAGCATCATCAGTGTCTTCATCATCATTGTCATTATTATAGTCATCAGTGTCATTACCATCATGATCATCGTCGTCATCAGCATCATTGTCATCATCGTCAATATTGTCATCATCGTCATTAGCAGCAGCAGCAGGAGAAACATTACAGAGCACCTACTGTATGCCAGGCCCTGTGCCAGCCACACCAGTGACTGGCAGCCCCGGTGCAGCCTGTGGCCTGGGTTCCACTGCCGGAGGGCGTGGGCTTAGAGACCCGTCCCTGGCCTGGCACCGCTAGCTGGTGAGGGCTTGACCTCCAGCCACGCTCAGGACCCCTAGGCAGGTGATCATCGCAATGTCACGTGTAACCCGTAAGTGGGAAGGCACTGAGGAAGCCAGGTGCTGTGTGACTGTGGCAGATTTATCGACCCCTCTGGGTCCTAGACCCCATCCTCCGGGGTCAGCTGGGGGAGACGGACTGAATGCCCTGGGAGCACGGCCCCCACAATTCCTTCCTCCCGCTGACCACCGCATTTCTAAGACCCACCACCAGGTGGCAGCAGAGGCCTTGCTTGGCTGCTGGACCTGGGCATGAGGGACACCCAGAGCATCGGCCTCCGAGGTCACCTTCATTCGTCCGACAAACATCCGCAGCGGGCCTGGCTCCTGGGAGCCTCCCGGCTGTGTGCTGCGGAGCTGGAGGAGACGCATCCCTCAGCCAGCCCCCAGGGAGCCGGTGTCCCCAGGGAGACGGATGAGGGAAGACACAAAGTCACACGAGGAGACAGTCGTATTTCTTTACAATCAGCATTGTTGGTTTCTTTTGCCCAATTTGTAAAATCATCTGAAAAAGGAGAAGTCACCATCTGGCAGGTGAAGGCTGGGCTGGGGCCCCCGGGGCTCTGGCGGGGTCTCTCTGTGCAAGGTGACATCAGCCCCTGCTCCCAGCCGGGTCAGCTCTGGCCTCTTCCTGCCAAGACTCCTGCGGCCACTGCCAGAGCAGCCGCGTCCTGCCCGCACCCGCGGCCTGTGTGGGGCAGGGCGGGGACGTCCCTGGCAGGCAGCCCCAGCTGACACAGGTGTTGGGTCACAGGGTCAGAAGTCCCGCCAGCCAGATGCCGCCCGTGGCTGCCTGGGAGGGGCTGAGACCCAGAGACAGTCCCCGTTTGAAAGGGAATGGCAGTAGGGAGCCGTGGAGTTTAGGGACAGGCTCTGCTTCCTGCGGGCAGGGCAGCCTTCTCTCTGCAGGGTAGGCGGCTGCCCCCGGCTCCTCTGGGCCTTCGGTGGGGGGTGGGTGCCCGGGAAGGGGAGCCCCCACTCAGGCTGGGGGCCTCGCACACGGCGGCTGGGCAGAGGCTGCAGCCGCCACGAGGCTTCCGTCAGTGTCAGTTCCTGTCCTCCTGACAGGCCGGAGGCCCTGCTCTGGGGGTTTAATCTGGGACCCTGGACCGAGGACTGAGGTAGGGAGGCCCCGGACCTGCGTGTGCAGGCGGCTGCCACTAGAACAGGAGAGAAGGAAAGATCCACACGCACGCACACACAAAC